TACTCACCAGATTTCTCAGTAGTTTATGAAGAGACGTTCACTTGCACAAATATAACAAATGCCAGAGAGATAGATTTGACATGAAAAGGAAGAAATGAACTGGTATTGCAGCAAAACACACGAGACACGTAAAGAAGACAAAGAAACATAATACGGAGTGTATAATTGTCGTGAGAGCTGTCTGCAAGCCAAAGAGTTGTAAACAACAATTCACGTCAATGTTTACGTCACGAATCGGATTCATGAGAAAAAAGCAAGATCAAAACGCAACCTTGACGAACTCACCTGACCAATCATAACACACACACACTCAACGTGGGCAGATGCGATACGTGGCCACAAAGAAATGATAGAAAAACCTTCAGCAAGAAATCAAACAATCAGAAGACGTTGCTTCTCGCGAACGTCCTGTGTACCTAACTAGCTCCACAACAGCAGATGGACATAAACACACATGGAATATACACAATCCAGGTAACATATGCTCAAGGTGAAGTGTGTGCACCAATGGACAGCTAGGGTAGGTTATGTGTAGAGTGACAGGAAATAACGCTTTCCTTAGTGATCCTGTCAGCCGAATTTCAAGTCTATCACTCGCAGTGTCACCACTAAATTCTCAGTTTAGGTACAACGCTGTTTTTGCTACATTATCGATCTCTGCATTTGTCCCACTTACGTTGCTATTGGCCTTTACGAAGCGTAGTGGATACCCGTTCTCTATGAAGATTTATTTCAGTTGTTTGAGTTCATCATCAACACTATCTTCACTACAAATTCTTCGCAACCAACCCTAAACCACCCTTGTTGGGAGAGTGGAGAGAGAGAATGGATTAGATTCCTTTTTCTGTCTATGTGGTTCACGTCGAATTTCTCTAAGCAGATCTGTTCAAAGACCTGTAAGTGTTAGACTAGACTTAAGGTAGACCTCAAAATAACCACACTTACTAAAAACTTCACCGCCTTATAACCTTAGCAGTACACTCTACCTAACGTGTAAGTACTGACGAACGAAATCAAAGTAAAAAGACTTAGTAGGATGGGAAGTGTGTCTGGGACTGAGTTGTATTTTACCCAAATGAAATATCAAATTTAATAAATAAATAACGGTGTTATACAACTTATCTGCTGCCTTTAACTGGTTGGTGGTAGGCTCGAAGAGTGCGCTGAATGAAGAAAGCACATCGACAGTGAGACAGAGTGAACCAAGTATGTACAGGAGAGCCACAAATCAAAAGAAGATGAAGTAGTACCAAAAGTGGGTGAGTGCGTTGAAACAAAAGTGCAAAGTTCACTACAGACCCGTTTCAGCTCTCCTTGTCAGTAGCACATCAAGGGAAGATATTCTTCCGTCAGTTTCTTCTATCTAACGTGAACTAGATAGCAGGATGACTGTCATTGAGTACTTTTAGGATGTCATTCAATTCACAGTTCTCATCGCATATAATCAACGTGTCAGCCACGGATCTTTTGTAGAAGGTAATCTTTTGTATCTTTCTTTTCTATGACTTTACTCATTCGGAAATGTTCACTCACTAGAAGAATCCATTCCACTTCACTTTGGCCAGTCTTTTCCTGTTAACAGTAATTCTGCTTCTCTCATCAAAGTTACTCACTTTGAACTAATCAGTGGAATGATCGCTTGGAGGAGGACTAACTCCCACAGCCGCAACCCCATGTGTTCAAAATGGCCAGAAACAATGTCTCAAACTCAACTCAATTCCTTTCGCCTTAGGAGTCCGTAGAGGTTATCGAAGAAAAATGACTCGACAAAATACACTCACAATGAGCACAGAAAAACTGCCTATCAGTGGGAAGTAATATGGCTAGGGTGGAAATTCTCTTCTCTTAGTGTTTTTCGGATCTGGCGTGGTAAGCGTCTCATCAAGTGGTCTCTTCACGAAAATGCAAGACGTCTGTGTAGGAACTAACAGCATCCACGTATTTCCTGGAGTAGATAAAAATTACCTCTGAGGTATTGACATCGATATTATCCGCTCTACAATTTGCACCCACTGTCCTCTGTATTGATTTCACAAATGAATCCTGGGTTATGTATGGCCCACCAGTATGCAATTGCCTTCATCTTGTTACCTACAATGAGTGCATCGACAGGCGAGTTCCGGTTTCACAAGAGGTCATTACGAACCTGTATATGTAATCTTCACTTTCCCACAATATACAACTCAATAAAAGGTAAGCTCTTCTAACTCATATGAAATTTAAACGAAGACTGAGGCTTTGATGAATAACTGAATCATACGTACAAATTCGTAATTCACTCTCAGCTAATATAACAAACTACACCTACTCTCACGTTATGCTCAATAAAAGACAAACGAGACAGGATTCGTGAGTTCATTTGTTTCTGATCATGAACCATCGATTTGTGTACATTAATTAGACAAATATGAACAAAATGGCTCAATCGAGAGGTGTTTGACTGTCACTCACAGTGACGCAGCCAGCACCCAATCTCGGAGAAAACACGTCTAGTGATGAATAGTACTAACAAAACAAAGATGCAATATCAAGACAAAATTGCTTTGCATTACACACCAGTGATGCATTTCTTAGCTTTGTAGTCACATGTATAAGTTGATACACAAATAAGTCGCCACCAGGATCAAAATATTCGACCATTTCACAATTAATTACAGTATTCCAAAACGCTGAGACGGTTGGTAAACAGAATCACGATAAGCATTGGAGACATTACTCTGGAGACATCTGAATAAGTGGAGTGGACAAAATAAATGACATTAAGGTGTCACCCACCAGTCTCCTCATCATGTCTTCAATTTATCTCGATTTTTCGTCATGGTTCCTCAACAATAGGCCAGTGATTGATTTGTTCTCTGAGTTATTTTGTTGTCGATTCTTTCTCGTCGGCCATTTCATCTTCAATATGGAGTCAGCGAAGGTGTCATTTGTTGACGAAAGTCTAAAGTGACCTGATGCAGAGGCTTTCTGTGACGCGACCGCCAACTTTCTGATACATATATATACAAAAGAGCTGACCTGACATTAGTGTTGAAATTCCAAATTCTGTATTTCATTCTGAGTGCAGAAAATTTCCGAATTCACTTCAGAGTGATGAAGGCACACCTTGTCGTTCCGATTCCGACTGGCTTTCACATCTTCATCCGATCCGCTGGCCTGTAGTTGGAACGATTCTGCCCAGTCAGATAAGTTAAGGAAGTAACCTCGTTCAAATTCTTCCCATTGATGTTGATTGGTTCTGGTTGTTTTTGTTGTTATTAGCTGGTTATCTTCATCACCTCCGTCTTCTCTATGTTCGATTGGAGTTCGGTCATCACTGACTGCCAGTCTATTCAGCCCGTTTGTTGCTTTTCGTTTGTGTGACATTAGACATAAATCACCCACACGCGAAATCCAGATCATCCAGAGTTTTCTTATCGACAGTCCAGTGTATTCCTGTCTTCTTGTTACCGACTGCCTCTCGCATTATCCAGTCAGTTCACCACAATTAAGAATATCATCCGTGGTGAGAATAGGCAGTCAGCCTTGTCTCACTTATATATATCACTTCAATACTAATGACTGCTTCACAATTATTTCATCACATAACACTACTTCTACGTCGTTTATTGAAGGTGGTGGAGGCACTCTATGGCGGATTAATCACATACATCCTAAACTATGTGTACAAAAACACCACAACAGACTGAGACCTTCACCTTCTCTGATGGACTACTCAACCTATGTAAGGATATGATTGGTCAATAGTATGAGGCCTCCAAAGCCTCAGGATGGTCGGGGGTGGGTGCCTTACGCTGCGGGTTGGCCACCCCTCCTCACACCTCTTGAAATGCTCCCATATGACTGGGCGTCTTACATAGCCTCTCCTGAGGAAGTCCTACTCACTGCCTTCACGTGGCGGAGGTGTTTTTCACCAAAGTGAGAGGGCGAAAGCGGATGACCGGCCCTCTTCACCGGGTTGACTGTCCATTGGATGACAGTCTAGGGGAGATGGCTAAACCCTGATTCCAAACCTCCAACGACTGGCGTATGAAGCTCACTGGAGCTCACCGGCAGACGTATGGACAAAGGGCTTGTTGGATGTTCTGGATGTCTGGCCCCATTCAAAAAGGCGTATGAACCGAACTCCGGTCACCGGCTGCCAATGGATAGTGGACTCCCTACTCCACTCCTACTGCCTTGTAGGTCACACTTGGTTGTGTAAAGGCTAGAGCTGCACTCTCAAACAAAAGGCCGAGCGATTCTGGGGACATTACTCGTACCAAATTCCTATGAAGCTTCATGAACTCTCTGATAACCCTGTCGCAAAACCTTGCATCAGATTGCCGCGCCTGAGCAGCGATGATTCGAGATGTTCATGAAGCCGGCTCATCCTCCAGTAGGAGATAGCCGAAGTAAAGTAAAAGTAAAGTAAGTATGTACTGTGGCTTTGTTTTAACATAACTGAGTAATTTTCATCACTTTTACTGTATCATTCAGTCTCGCATTTCCTAGCCTCATATCACTCATCCTTGCCATTTCATTCGTCGTGGTGTGTTGAACCCAGCGACCATGCTGATAGTGTCGTCTAAATGGCTCAAAATCGTTGTCAATGGCTTGCGCAGATGATTCAGTCTCTGTATTCTTTCATATCCCTTTCTACCATTACTCATTCTGTTTCACTCTTATACTTGTCAAAACTCTATTGATTCTCTTCACTCATCTTCTTCTTGTCTACCTTTTTGTGCTATTTGGAACGTGGCAACTCGAACTGCTGCACTTCGGTGCCAAGTTCTATGTTGAATCCAGCCAGCCAGTGTCGTCTGCTGTGTATCTAAAAGTGAATGCCAACTTACACGATCGGGAAACACACGTGGAAAATAACGGCACTAGGCATACTTTTTTTCGAAAACCTGACACTTAGATAAGATGATGACCCCTACCATACAACCAGGAAACTATTTATCCCGGATGATACTATTTCAAACTGGAGAGATGGTATTCAGAAATAAAAAAGATAATTAAAACTCATCGGATTTTATATAATAAACTTTTCAAGAAATAAAAAAATCATAAAAATAACAGTAGTCCTAAGACTGTGTTTGGAATAAAAAATTCTGATGATATACACAACTGGAATGATTCTTTGTAAATTTATGTACAGAAAACATGTAAAAATATATAAATACAAAATTCCTGATTATTGCACACAATATCTTATGTACAGACTGGTCATATTGAGCTGACGTATACAAAAATAACAAAACGATGCAACGGAAGATGAATAAACATCGGGATATACGTAGATATGTCAATACATTCACCTCGATGTAACTGAAAAAAAAACAGAAATATACAGAATGTGTGACTATATACATATACACATACATATATATTAAAAACATAATTTGCCCTCCGAGAGGTGTGGCGTTTTTACGGGAGAAAGTTGCTAGTCTTTACTGACGGCTAGACCAGATGGTTTAGGAACAACCGAACCCAGACCACGTGCTTCGTTGGCGACCTCACCCTAAACCTATTTATTCCATCATCGAACTATGTATATTAGATCATATTGTTAAGGAAAAGTCGGCTAAATGATGCCAAAACTAAAGAACAACAACAACAACTTATTTCGTACTTTGACTGGAGACACTACTGACTAGTGTGTGTCATGTGACGAGTCCTTTGTTTGCTGCAGCAGCACTACTAACGGGCGACATGAGTCCCATCAAGATTTCAGATATGCCACACCCCACCCGATTGATGAGTGTCAACACAAGCATGCAACTTAGGTGTATAAGGCTTCCTCCAGCTGATTGATTGCCTCCAAGCACACAGTGGTTAGGACTCTGGCCGACCCATGCCACATGGTCCGGGATTCGATCCCCTACCGACGCACACCTGATATCAATGGTCGGCCTGCAAAATTTGGGCTACCGATATTACATGCTGAAAATTCCATACTTGTACCAAAAATACGATGTGGAATCAAGCTGTAATCAAAACAATAAAAATAACAACTTCTTTTGCAATGGAAACTGTGATATATATTCAAAAAAATAAGTTTATCTGTGCAACAACGAGTTTATGTTTTTAAAGTCATTTGCCTTTATAATTACGAGAAAGAAACTGGTAATTATCAGATTTCATTTGTCCAAGAGACTTTTAATGCAAGTTGTCAGCAAGCACAAGTGAGTGATCAAAACTAAATTAGAAAAGTCTAAAGCGTGTAGTTGGCCTCGCTCTGGTAGAGACCTTGTCCATCAACTACTATCCATAATCATCACACCATGACATCTACTATCTGTCCATCTATCATCCATAGTAATTAGATTAGCTTTAAGGCATCTAAGGGAGATCGTTGGAAGTAACTATGACTCATCTTCCGTCCTTCAGTGCATTTTCCATTACTGCCCCCTTTATCTACATACAACACAGTAATTCCATACAAGTAAGATTGATGCAATCAGCTCTCTGAGTTCAGTGACTTAAGTCGTATACACACATACACACACACGTTCGATGAGCTTAGCATCAAACACAAGTGAAACAGTTGTTCAGTGTTTGGATAGTTTCAATCTGGCACTCGTATAACCCGACGGATTGATATGATCGGTAGACAACTTACTTACTTATATCAATTAGCCAATAGTAATATAGCAAGTATGCATATATCTGATATGAGGCAAACTATTTGTTTTTACGAGTTGATCACGGATTGATATCAATCCCCGACCGAAAGCTGCTACCTTGACGTGGTGGTCGGGCTTGAACACCGCAATGACCCAACAAGCTATACTGGCTGGAACTTATGTTCCTGCAGGTCTCACCATGCCAGAAAGGCTGTTTGGATAGCGGTTAGACTAAAAGCAGTTACCCAATCCAATCCTATGACTTCAAACAAATCACAAAATATCATGCCGGATCGGTCGGGGCCCGGATTAACAACGACCGCGCTCTCTGCTGCCGTGTCACAGGGCAGAAGTGATAAATACGCTACTGAGACACACCAGATAAAAAAAGAACAAACAAAAACAGGCCGTGTGTGACCAGCCTCAAGCAGTTGTCCCCTGGGCTCTGCGGTCACGCAACCAACTTCCACGGTGTGGGCAGCCGGGAAGTAACAATCGCCCTCACAACCCGAAGAGCACGCGAAACCTCTCTCTGATATCAATCAGTTAGAAAACCCATTGAAAACCAAGCACTGGTGGAGTACTGCCAGACAACTGTGTTCCTCCGTCCTAGTTTGGGAATCATCGGTAGTACGCACCCACCCCACTGCCAGGGTTCGAACCCAGTTACAAGACCAGTAAGCTCATAACACCATTCAGCTACTGGCTAGCCAATGAATTCTAACTTCTAACAGTTCGTGATTTAGCGCGACCCCGACCATTGTCGTCGGTGCGACATCCACCATCCCCACACTTGACATTTGGATGGACCTCAATGATCACGACTTCTCACTAGAACTTCAGGAAACTTCTTCCTGTAGCAAGTTACTAACGAGCATCAGATTAATTTTCTATAGTTTGGTTTGTAAGGATTAGTTTTGTTTTTACGAGTTGATCACGGATTGATATCCTTACAAACCAATCATAGAAAATTGATCTGATGCACGCTAGTGACTTGCTACAAGATGGAGTTTCCTGGAGTTCTAGTGAGAAGTCGTGACCAGTGAGATTCATCCAGTCAAGTGTGAGTATGGATGCCCACCGATGACATTGGTTGGTGGGTGGTCACACTAAAAGTTACGAATTGGTAGAAGCTAGAATTCATGGGCTGGCCATTGAGGAGTCGGGTCCCAGTGGCTGAATGGTATTATGAGCTTGCTGGTCTTGTAACCGGAAGGTCCTGGGTTCGAACCCTGGCAGTGGGGTGGGTGCGTACTACCGATGATTCCCAAACTAGGACGGAGGAACACAGCTGTCTGGCAGTACTCCACCAGTGCTTGGTTTTCAATGGGTTTTCTAACTGATTGATATCAATCCGTCCGTGATCAACTCGTAAAAACAAATCTAATCCTTAAACAAACCAATCATAGAAAACCTGTTTATTATTCACAAGGGTATACTAATACTACTATTTAATTAATTGCTTTGGTTTCATCAGTTGAAAATCAACTACTTCGATTAGAGATTAATCAGTTAAACAAGGCGTGTTTATGCGAGATTATGCGAAAGAGAGAGAGAGAAAACATCCTATTAACAATTGAACGCCTGCCTGAACACAACTACTCAAACATGGTTTTCAACATTTAAATCGAAATAAAAACAAAACAAAAACATTTCATATAAAAATCTATTATGATAAAAATAAAATTACTCCACTGCAGTTAGTTAGTTAGTTAGTTAGTCAGTTAGTTAACTTACAGCATCACAATTAAAATCTCTGAAATTAATCTGTCCTAATTCGTGCTGCATGCCTCGTTGTTGATGATAAGGCTGACGGTCGACCAACAATAACAACTGGTGTTGGTGTTTGTGACGATCCATTAACACTAACATTATTATTATTGTTATTATTATTATAAGATGGATGTGGTAAAATTATTCGATGATGTGATTGTTGTTGCTGTTGCAGTTGCTGTTGTTGTTGCTGCTGCTGCTGTTGTTGTAGTGGATGCTGATGATGATGATTATGATGATGATGATGAACATAATGAGGAGGTAATATGTGTGTTGTTATTGTTGCTTTTGAAGGATGCAGTGTTGGATCAACAGGAATTGGATGATTCAAAATCGATGAAGAAGTTTTAGGATACAGTGTTAAACCATTCGAACCACTAGGAGTAGTAGGATTAATATGAACATTGGTAGTAGGATTAGTAGTAGTAGTACTAATAGTAGTAGTAGTAGTAGTAGTGCTAGTATTGGTAGTACCACCACCAGCAATTGCAGTACTGTAGTTGCACAACTGGGCTATGGCTTGTACACATGATTGGGAGTGTGCTGTCCAGTGTTTTGTCTGGCATGTATTGTTACAATACGATGTATTCCAACAACAGTAATAATACGCCAGATTTCCACAATAAGCACACTGAAAATATAAAAAAAAATCAAGAAACAAGATGAGAATAATCACAGATCGATATCACAGTTAGAAAATCATTGAAAAATCAACAGGGAGTATATACTAGGCGCACCTGTTTCGCCAAAACCTACCTAGTTTGGGACTCATCGGCAGTACTCACACCCCCATCCAAGGTATTCAAACTGACGACCTTTCACAGTTATGAGGAGGCAAGCTTTTAGACTGTTTAGCCATTGAGACAGACATCCGTCAGACTCAATGGCGAGTCTATGAATATGCTAACTTCAACCAATTCGTGATTTTCGCGCGACTGGCAACCAGCCAGCCAAATGTCATCATCCGTGGAGAGTATTTGTCCTCACACCCCGTCCAATGATCGCAACTTCTCACTAAAACCCAGGTAACCTACCACCATCTACCTATCTGAATAGGGCCAGTTGTTAATATGAGCATCAGATTAATGTCAGCTCATGATGAAATCCTACAACCAATCGAATCTCCCCCCCCCCGCGCTCCATCTACAAACCAACACTTGAATCAAAGAATTTCTTGTCAAGCTGAAGTGGGTTATAACGCTGTCGTCAAATACACTGTAACGGTGGAGTGTCCGTGATTTGTTGGTTGTTATCTATGCATGACAATAATCCCCCACACTGAGGTAGGCAAACACGGAAGCCGGTTTTAACTGCTACAACCACACGAACAAAAAGTATCTTCATTATTTGAAATACGGAAAGCACAAACAAATAATCAATATAGTCATGATTAATTGCATCAATCGTGACTATATTGTTGACGGACATAGTTAGTCCGTCCTAGCACATTCCCCTTTTTAATAATAGATATTCAATTGGTGGTGGTGGGGGGAGAGGAGGGGTACCATTGTGAGATATTTTTTTAGGCCTGAGTACTCTCTATCTATGTGTGATAGTTGTTAATTATCAAAGGATGACAAAGTGTGTGTGTGGTTATGCACCAAAGAAAGGATTAGCCAGAGACACATCACACCAGTTACTAGTGTCCAATCAAAATACCCACTACAGTTCTACAAGAAGAAGGTCAATCGCGAGCCCCGAATAGCTCAGTGGTAACGTTTCCGACTGCAGGCAGCACTGGGTGACGTGGTTTCGAATCTAAGAAGGGACATGAGTTCCTTCAAGGTTGCAGATACGCCTGCCTTGTTGACTGGTGAATGCCAACTAGCACGGAACCAAGATCCAAAGCTTCCTGTAGCCGATTGCCTCCAACTATCTAAGATGACAAGGTGTGTTGGTTATGAATTCTATATTTATAATAGTTCATGAGATGTATAAATCTTAGAAGGAAGAGGGGGTGTAGAATGATGAATAATATTTTATTAGTACGACAATTATACTGAATATTACATGAATGAAGGTGACATTGTGAGATAATCCTGGGCATTCATTGTTCAAAGTGAAAATAACATTAGTACCAATCGAAATAATAATACTAATAATAATGAGTGAGTATACAAATGGGATAAACAGAATGAAAAATGACAACGGCCAATGTAGAAATGAAGATTATGGTTAGTTTAGATATAGTGTCAGCTTAAGACTGTGAAATATGGACAGGGAAGTGGTTGCAGTACAAAGGTCTATCTTTTTGATTTCGATGGGTAAAAACATGGGTAAAGTATGCTGTGGAGCCTTTAAAGCAAAACAATTTAGTTTATCTAATACCCTACCAAAATGATTGTCAGGTCAAATACATAGATCAAACTAGTAGAACAGGGGTGGTCAGTCTAGCCGAACATAAAAACATAGCAGCAAAATCTAGATTGGTTGACCCAAATAAGATAAGAAATCTAGAGAACAGTTCGGCTATAGCACTCACTATATGCAATAACACAATCATACAATAGGCTGGATGGGAGAGATTGATAACAGAAGCTTTGTTTATCGAATCAACTGGAGAGAACACGTGTAGTAGGAATGATTCAACACCTGTCCACCCAGATATCTGGAAAATTCTACTACCCCAACGACGACAAATAGGAGAGGACAAAGGAAACTATAAAACTCAAGTTTCGAAGTCATGTATGATTATAATTGATGAAATGATTATGAACAATAAATTTTGTTCGAAAGTGCGTCATCCAGTAAATAATACTGTTTCACTGACTGTGTGATACATCTAATAAACAAACTAATATTGAATTTGTCAGGTTCTTTTTTGCCTTATAATAAATAGGCTTTAAAGGAGGCGGCTGTAGAGATAAGGGGACCAGTGTGTGAATCGACTAAATGTTCAATTGTTGCACTTCTCTTTTTGGTTGATACGCAGTGGAGCAGATGAAGTGAAAAGGAAAAATAGAATTGGTCTGTTTTGGGGGGTTCATGTCCCTTCAGGTTATTGAACAATAATGTGATCAGCCAGAAAACATTATTCTCAACGGTTCTGAGATACTTCTTTTAAGGATGTGTTGACAGTTAGATCACCTTTGAATTCAAAGTTTGTATATGTGAGCTCGTGAAAATTCTTCATATATAATTTTGTCTGTATAAACGTTGCGGATATCTATCTACTTTCTATTAGGATTTTTCTAAGAAGAAGATTGAACTTAAATTGGTGGATGGTGACTAGCAGTGGAATCCAGGACAACGCGCACTTCGTCCTACTTGGGACTCGTCAGCTGAATGTACCTGCATTCACTGGGAATGCAGGTACATTCAGATGACGAGTCCCAAGTAGGACGAAGTGCGCGTTGTCCTGGATTCCACTGCTAGTCAGCATCCACCACCAATTAAATTATAATTAAATGCCCAGACATCGTCAAAGCATATATATATACATATAATACTAAATAAGGCAAAGACAGAGAAAATCACATTAACACAACTAACCCATTGACGTTTTTTCGCTTCATCAACTGTCTGTATCATATCTTGTTCCCAAATTTTACCAGCTGTCTCTAAAATAGCCAATAGTTCACATTCCCATACTTGACGTAATTCAGCGATTCGACGATTCATTTCCATTGTCATTTCAGCACGTGTATACTCAACTAGTACATTCAAGCGTTGATTCTCTTTTTCCATGCGCAGCAGTTCTTCTTCCAATGATTGCTCTTGAAAGGTAGGCTCACGATAACTATATACTGACAAAGAGTATTCATGATGATCCCCATCGGTTTGTATTGCTTTACATTCAGTTTCTTTAAATATTTGCAATGAGGGTGATGATGATGATGAGTTTGACAATGGTGATTGTGAGGCATCCAAGTCGACATTATTATTATTATTATTATTATTATTATTATTATCGTTGTCTGTTTGAACTGCAATCTCTGATGTTATCGGATGCAAACAAGGCTGTATTGCTTGTGCACAATCCATGAATCAATACCCATTGGAGAGAAATGAAAAAGAAAATTAGAAAAGACGTCTAACAAACAAAAAAAAAAAATAGAGGATGATTATGTATGTAACAACACACAGTGTGAGTGTGGTGAGAGCTGGCTGCTAGCTAGCAAAGTTGGTAGACAGTAAGTAATTGACGTCAATGTTTATGTCCCCAATATTAGTTAGTGGTGAGAAAATGAGAACAAAGGCTTTGTTGAGTAGGCGGATACAGTTAGCATATGGATGATGATCTGACACAGCCAGCCACAAAGAGATGCAAGGTTAACTTTCTGTGAGAAACAACCAATCAAAAGACTGTATTTTCTACTCACAATAATCTACAATAATGTACATTAAAATCCATAAATATGTGTTGATTTTCCTTAATAAACGATCTGTTGCCTGGCCCTTGTCTTCTGTTGTTACAGCGCACCAAAATAATTTACCCCGATAGTGGAAACTTGAAACATGTTGGACAACGACTAGCTTGTTACACATACACACACTCAATTCTATGTAAACCAAAGGACTCAACGGCAAAAGAAGACAAAACTAACGTCATCTACAAGATAAGTTGCAACGACTGCGACAAACAATACATTGGTCAAAGTGGACGCCCTCTTCGTCTTCGCATTCACGAACACAAACTAGCTGTCAAAAGACACGACATACACTCCCTCATATCACTACATGCAGAAAACCACGGGCACCAATTCGACTGGGACAATGTTCAAATCTTAGACAAAGGGAACTGCAAAAATGCCAGAGAATTCCTAGAGGCCTGGTATTCAAATGAATCAGCAATCAATAGACACATAGAGATTGACAAAATATACCAATCCATACGAAGAAATTCACACAAAAACAAAGTCAAACTTCAGGTCAAGGAAACAGTCAACAGCAAAACAAGTGAACTAGAAAGTGAGAATTCACACAAAAACAACCAATCACGTTCAAGGTTAGCAGAAGGAATGACTAACGACATTCAGACCAAAGAATCAGCCAGCACCGAGACAAGCAAACTAGGGGGTGAAATGTCACAAGAAAACAACCAATCACGTTCAGGGTTACTAGAAGAGATGACTAATAAACTCATAGAGAATTCTAAAAGCTCACTTCACATCGAAGTATGTGCTGAAGATGTTGCTCAGTAGAGCAATGAAAGCTTCGCAACCAAACCATCCAGCTCAGAGAACACAACCACACCAAAATACACAACTTCAAAAAAACACTTTCTCGATTCGCTGAAAAGGTTGAGCCAACTTTATATATATATATATATATATATAATATATATATATCATAATAAATTTATCGTCTCGTTCGATGCGATGACCTTTCTCTATTCACACACACACACACACAAACGCAGATAGATTTCCCTGCACGTAACTTTACACATCAGTGATCAACAACATGCTGATCTCCTTCACTCTTTGGAAACTTGCATTGAATTAACTTCTCTCAATTATTTATACCAAGTATACATACAATTCCAGTTTGAAGTGAACTTTTATTGTCGAGTTGATATTTATGATTTATTTATTTATTTAAACGCAGAAAAACTTGATACAATATGGCACCAAGAAAGATGCGCCACACAATATTGTGTGAGGGCTGAGATACTGCCCGGGCGCCCAGACCGAAGCAGGTGGTTTTCTTAAGGGATCACCCCCCCCCGAGCCTTTGACTTGGAGTCTAATCCGCAAGGCAGCGGAGCAGCGTCAGGAGCTGCGTTCCCATGGTTGCCGGTGACCCATATGGGTTCATAAGCCATTTGATCCGATTGAATTCTGGAGCCCATGTACCTCATGGTAACTGCTTTTAGTCTAACCGCTATCCAAACAACCTTCCTGACATGGTAGGACCTGCAGGGACATGAGTCCCAGCCAGTTTAGCTTGTTGGGTCACTGCGGCATTCAAGCCCGATCACCACGGCGAGGTAGCAGTTATCGGTCGGGTCGGGTTGATGGAGTGGTGATAATCATCATAGTTCATTGGGTCATATATTTTCACTGCTATTGACAGATATGTAGACAACACAACACTTACCGTGTTTCATGAATGATGCTACGAACAACGCTTGTTGGTATAAACGACCTTCGACAACTAATAAATAACTCCTTTAAAGTTACTTCCAACTGTGTGGACCGATCCCTCACGTGTGTCACTATCTCCGGGACTAAAGTTATATTAGTGAAGCAGAGGAATTGCAGGACCTATATCATCTAGTCTGAACATAAACACGAAACGGACATCCATTCGCAGGAAGTCTTCCCCTGTATTTTGAAACTATAGCAAAAAACCCGGCTGGAACCTAAATGATGTGTCATAGAAATGCATTGAAACTTGTTTTCTTGAATATTAGCACTTCTACACAGGGCAGAAAAAGGACGTTGTTCGTCGACGAAATCTCAGAACGGGTATAGAAGGCTCGTTTGACATATGCCAATTTACGCCGGCTCAGTACACGTGATATGCGGCTATCAACCAAAGGACATGAGTACTGCTCAGGAGTCCACTCCGTCCTTCTTTATGGCTGTGAACGAGACGTAGCCATCGAGGGTGGAAGACACGAGAACGCCAGCTAGCTGTCTTTGATCGAACCCCGGACAATATGCATGGTCGGCGACCGTCCTAACCGTTGTGCCACCGACCCCCACCTCCTTACAGATCTTAGAAACTTGATACTCCTGTTCATAGAAATGATTGTGAATGTCAGTTTTTGAATGCCAGTCAACCTGTGATGCCCCCTCTTGCAGTCAGTCACTCTGTCCTTACAACCAGACTGACTAATCAATTAACACAACTAGATTTTCACTAGATATTAATCAGTCCAAATTATGAACAAGTAAACACAGACACAAACACACAAAGACACAAAACAAGTGACTACTCTAACCAGATAACGAGATGTACTTTCTTTCTGTTAAATCTTTGCTTAAATATTTGACCTCATTGTTTTTGTTGTTGTTCTTTTTCATCGTCTCATTCAGCGAGAAAATCTTGTTAGTGTTCGTGTGTGTGTGTGTTTGTGAGTCTGTTTGTCGCATATCATCATCATCATCAGTGTGTAATTGATTTGGTTAGATTCCAGATTCCAGTTGTCTTTCTTATTGGGGCGACTACTAACTAGTTCGTTTGTTGGCTGGCTGGCTGGCTGGTTGGTTGGTTGGTTTCTTCCAATTCGTGTGCTTAGTGATTATTCCATCGCATACCACAGTTGTACACTTACTACTCATAACCACATACTTCTACTGTAACAACAGGAGACAACGGCCAGGCAACAGATCGCTTATTTACGAAATCAACAGATATTTATAGATTTTTCATGTACATTATTATAGATTATTGTAAGCAAACAAACACAGTCTTCTGATTGGTGGTTTCTCTCTCGCTGAACGTTGAACGTTAATCTTTCATCTTTTTGTGGCCGTTTATTGAAGTTCAGATTATAGTATCTGCAGATTGTATCCGCCTACACGAACAAAGTCTGCTGTGATTGGTTGTTGAGTAGTCAGACTTTGATCTTATTTTTGTCTCACGACCAATATTAGGGACGTGAACATTGACGAAAATTACTGTCTACCAATTTTGGCTAGCAGCGAGCTCTCACCATACACACTACTACTAACGGCTAACAACTGTGAGAGTAATATGAATCGTCACAGACATGCACACGCCTGTATCACTCACTAATAGAAGGATTGAAATCACCTCCATGTACAGCACAAAAGAAAGTTCAAGCAAAGAATATTCTCTTCTTGATAAATCCCTTGTCCGACTGTACATACAAACCATGTAACAGGTGGTGAACTCGTAAGGTAAAAGTAAGAATATGGTAGATAACTTTGAAAGCTTTACTAAAATCGATTTTGTGCTGTGTATCCACCACAAGATGAGCTAGAATAGAGCTGCTCCTGAACAATCACAGCAGACTTTGTGTAGGCCGATACAATTTGCAGATACTATAATCTGAACTTCAATAAACGGCCACAAAAAGATGAAAGATTAACGTTCAACGTTCAGCGAGAGAGAAACCACCAATCAGAAGACTGTGTTTGTTTGCTTACAATAATCTATAATAATGTACATGAAAAATCTATAAATATCTGTTGATTTCGTAAATAAGCGATCTGTTGCCTGGCCGTTGTCTCCTGTTGTTACAGTAGAAGTATGTGGTTATGAGTAGTAAGTGTACAACTGTGGTATGCGATGGAATAATCACTAAGCACACGAATTGGAAGAAACCAACCAACCAACCAGCCAGCCAGCCAGCCAACAAACGAACTAGTTAGTAGTCGCCCCAATAAGAAAGACAACTGGAATCTGGAATCTAACCAAATCAATTACACACTGATGATGATGATGATATGCGACAAACAGACTCACAAACACACACACACACGAACACTAACAAGATTTTCTCGCTGAATGAGACGATGAAAAAGAACAACAACAAAAACAATGAGGTCAAATATTTAAGCAAAGATTTAACAGAAAGAAAGTACATCTCGTTATCTGGTTAGAGTAGTCACTTGTTTTGTGTCTTTGTGTGTTTGTGTCTGTGTTTACTTGTTCATAATTTGGACTGATTAATATCTAGTGAAAATCTAGTTGTGTTAATTGATTAGTCAGTCTGGTTGTAAGGACAGAGTGACTGACTGCAAGAGGGGGCATCACAGGTTGACTGGCATTCAAAAACTGACATTCACAATCATTTCTATGAACAGGAGTATCAAGTTTCTAAGATCTGTAAGGAGGTGGGGGTCGGTGGCACAGCGATTAGGACGATCGTCGACCATGCATATTGTCCGGGATTCGATTCCTGAGCACCGACCCACTACTGCTCCATTATCTCGCTAAGCCAGAAATAAAAATAGCTGGTAAAGAGGACAGGTTGGGCATGAGGCTGGCTGGCAGCAACCGCATCCTGTAGTAATGAAAACACTGCTACAGAAACTTCAAGCCCCTAGCTTGAAGCAACCCTATGTTCCACTGGGAACGTGAAGGAATACAAAACAAACAAAAAAGATCTGTAAGACATCTCAGCGGATGGGAAACTGATATTCACGTTGGACGTTAAGTTGGAATAGGCGGTGAAGATTCTCGTCATTTTGGAATTAGTTGCATTTTGTTTCATAGTATAACTTGTAAAAAAACGAGTGTACTCATGAGACATTACGGTTCTCTTAATTTCCTGAGAAGGAAAACACAAACTATTGAAACACTCATGTACACTGAAAACAGATGGACACTGTGAAAGAGCATTATCTACTATGTTGACAGGGAATCGTGTCTCACCTAAATTATTATTATTATTGTTCCCTTGGGTTCCTAGTGGAACATAGGGCTTCAACTGCACGCCTCCACTTGCTTCTGTCTCTTGCTGTACTTTTCACTTGCATCCATGTTAGTCCATACTGTTTCAACGCCTCTTCACACGATCTCCTCCATGTCACCCTTGCACTGACGTCCCACTCGCCGCTTCCCTTTCGGGTTCCACTCGAGCAATGGCCTGACGCGCGATGTCACCCAACGGCCTCCTCAGCGAGTGTCCAATCCATCTCCACTTTCTCCTGCACATTCGTTGGACGATTAACTCTTGTTTTGTTTGTTCCCATAGTTTCTTGTTGGTGATTCTTTCCGGCGGCCATCTGATCTTCAGTATAGAGCGAAGACAGCTGTTGTTGATAAAGGTCTGCAACAGGCTGTTGGAAATATTCTTTGTGACCCGCCAAGTTTCTGATCCATCCGTATAGAAGAACTGACTGACTTGACGTTTGTATTGAAAATCCGAATTTTGTTGTTGATGCAGGCTGAGTGACGAAGATTTCCAGATTGGTTTCAGGTTGATGAATGTGTTTCTCGCCTTCCCGATTGTCGATTTGACATCCTCGTCCGTTCCTCCTGTAGTTGAGACAATGCTCCCCAGATAAGTGAATGAAATAACCTTTCATCTAAATTAGAGACTATAAATCATGGAAATATAACTTTTGAGATTATACAACAGCACTTACTGCTGTTCGATGAAACATCGAGTTTCTCTTCAAATTTTCCTAAGGCATTGTAAATTGAACTTTTAATATCGTCGAAGGCTAAGCGTAAGTTGTCTATTGCATTTGATGTAGACGGTCTGTAAATGAATAAAAAAGATGAGAGGAAGATTTTGACGCAAGTGTGATAGTATCAAGTATTAATTCATTCAACAACAAAACGCAGTAGTAGTGGTTAGTATATTACCATTGAAGAAATTATTTTAACAACAGAAATATAAAAATAAATTACATTAGAAATCAGAAAGAAAATGGCATTACCGCCACTTGTAGAGAAAAAAAAAGAACAATGAGATAATCGATGGAAATACGAAGATATTAAATATGACTAGAAGGCTGCGCTTAACAGCTAGCTAATATACGAAGATGGGGCAACAACTCCACAACACAGTGAGCATAATTACAGATACATACAGCTTTATAACACTTTTGCTCTACGCCTAAGAAAGCAAGCTAACAATGTCGGACGTGTCCACGTCTTCGCGTCTACGCGAACACCACCGTTATCATCGTAGAATGAGAGTAAGAGTTGATGCGTTTACACCTTATAATAAGTAATACTGAACTACAGCAATACGTGATATGTCACCATAAGTTCGTTGACATGTTCCACTAAATGACATCATGAGGATGCACCGATTTTGATAGTGTAAATAAATACGTGTTACAAATTATCATTTCAGCTGGGTTTATTTTATATCGTCTGCCAATAGTTAGGTGGAGTGTACTTTGTGCAAAGAAGCAAAGAATTATTTGATCTACGACATATAACATTGTGCGATTGTGCGTTCGATCCCCCAGCCGACGCACACACCTGATATCAACTGGTCAGCCTGCTAAATTGGACTACTGATGATATTACATGCTGAAAATTCCATACTGTGTGGAGTCAAGCTATAATAAAACTTAAAAAATTTATATTTAAAAATTGAAGGATAGTGACACTAAAAGTTAGCATATGTTACTGTGAACCACAATCCTCTACTAACAGTTTTATACAATGGACTAGTTACTTTGAAGCTTCAAAAACATCACGTCATGTGACTCCTAATGCGAAACAACTTTCTTATCTCTTCAATAACCAAAAGAATAAACAGTGAAGAAAGACCTCGTGAATGTATTCCACGAAAAAATATAGATTTAGAGTATCAAATTTGTAATTTAAGAATTATATACCAGATGAAAATGCATAACAGTTCCCTTTTGAGAACTCAAACCATTCAGATAACAATATATGACCTATTTGATTCCACCAAACATTGTCATCAACCAAAACTGTTTGCCACTTGAATCGAAGTGATCTCAACATTAGGTCGGTTGGTTTTCGACACAGAACTTTGCACATATGTGCGGCAGTTCAAGTCGCCACACTCCCTCCTTGTAGCACACAAAGCAAGAGAAGAAAGTAGGAGAAATGCATAATATAGGCAGCAAACAGAGGTGTGAGACAAAGGTATAGTAATAACGAAGAACAAAACAGTTTCATTGGAAATCATAAGTCACAAGGAGTGGATGCATCTGCGCCAGCGATTGAGAACGATTTTGAGCCATGTCACCAATTGTTTCCAGCATCTATTCGTTTTTACCGTCCCGAGGACCCCAACCAGGAAGTCTACACCTTCCTACGTGGCTTAGGCTAACTGTTGTAGATTTCATTGACTGGTGCCATGTTTTGGTTTGACTGCCGCTAGCTCTTTTCCAGCCTGGCCCTATATCAGCTAACATTTCCCATTGTTGAGGAAGGCGATGACTAGGCATACGTAGTACATGTCCCAACCATCTCAGTCGATGTAATTTCACAGTCTCATCGATTGATTTCCCCGCCTTACTTAGTACTCGACCGGTGCCTCACCTCAATATTGCTCACCTTATTATACCACTTCACACGGGAGATAGAACGCAGACACCTATGATCGAAGACAGCTAATCTTTTCATGTCTTCCGCTCTCAATGGCCAGGATCTCAACATTAGGTGGTTTGAGTCAAACCGGCTACACCGTTTATGAGTTTGTCCTTCCCTCCCCCCCCCCTTTAGAAAAAAATGGTCAAAGCGACCATTATTTCGATTTAGGAAGCCAGTACGCTACTGTACTGCTTGACGTGAATAAGGCTCTCCACTACTTATATAAATCAACTGTTAACACTAAGAATATTAACTTGTTTATTGTTCACCTATGTAACTGCCTTCTTTCTTATTCTCTTATTATTACACTACTCATTTCTTCATACAGAATATTTTGTTTTTCGCTTTTCATGCTGCACAGAGTTTATGTCCAAAGATAATCAGTAAATTCCTTAAGTTAAATACACAAATCGTGGAAAATACCCATCAGGACACATCAGAGAGAAAAGAACAAGAAGTTCAGCAAAGATAACCACCTTTTCGGCGATTTCAGCCTCAAAAGCAGTTGTACAGTAGCATTTATATACATAAGTTTACAAAGATCCTATTATTATTATTATTATTATTATTATTATAGCTTGACTCCACACTGTATTTTTGGTACAAGTATGGAATTTTCAGCATGTGATATCATCAGTAGCCTAATTTCGCAGGCCGTCCATTGATATCAGGTGTGCGTCGGTGGCCGGGGATCGAACCTCGGACCATGTGCATGGTCGGCAGGCGTCCTAACCACTGTGCCACCGACGAACATTTAATTCCACATAATAATGAAGGATATTGAAGGTGGTAATAATTTTCAACTTGATGTGATGAAAGTTCGAAGGGGATGGATCTAGATTCCATGGAGCTTGTAGACAAAATTATACAGGATTAGAAAATAGTTGCGTTACATGTAAAGCAGTTTTTTCTTAACGAATAGAGGTGTGAATGGGCTGAGCATGGAAACTAATTGAAATTCTTTTTCTTTCTTAACTGAAGATGAACGAAAAAAATGAAGGGAATGAAAAAAACAAACAGACGAAAACTAAGAAGTCCAACGGTACCAGATCCATGATAAATGTAGAAGTTGAACTAGTTTCTTTTAATCACACAGCTCCGGCTTTTCGATGCATAAATGGTTATGGCTTCTGCAGTACAAAGAAGTCGGAGACACACTCACTGCCTTTGATAGACACATTTTGCTTACTTTGTAAATGACTCTGAATGATGAGTCAGTTGAGATGCAGTGATTATGGCGCTTCTGATTGAACCAGTGCCCCTTGTTTTCAACCATGCTGGGTAATGTTCCCTGACACGTTTTGAAAGGACCCACATAGAACGAATTATCCACCCAGCGCGGCACCAGCAAGTTAACTGATATATGCCTACACAATTCAACTATTTTCTAATCCTGTGTAATTTTATCTCCAAGCTCCATGGAATCTATATTCATCCCCTTCGAACTTTCATCATATCAAGTTGAAAATGATTACCACCCTGAACATACTTCATTATTATGTGGAATTAAATAATAATAATAACTGTATCTTTGTACTTAAATGCTACTCTACAACTGCTTTTGACGATGAAATCTCCGAAAAGGTAGTTATCTTTGCTGAACTTTTTGTTCTTTTCTCCCAAATACAGGGATTTCATTTCCAATACTATTTAAAACGACAATAATGAATGCTGGTTATTTCCCATGAAATTTATTATTTACACTATATCCACTATATAATACAGTAATATACACAAAACTTGAGTCTCACAGACTGTTAAACATTACAGATACTGTATAACAACACAAACAGAGATTTCTTCTATTCAGACCCAATCTATCTACCTCTTTTTTTTAACCCTTACTATCTGTATTATTCTACCTCTCTTGTCAGGGTACACTTAGAATTGAAAGGATGCAGTAACAATGACAATAAGGGAAGAGATTACAAAATTCACGGACACAGAAGAAACACATAAAAATCGTAGAAAATAATGGCACCTAGAAAGTAATCAAAGTTACGTTTAATTGATGACAAATATAAGCACCTTTTTCACCTGTTATGAGGACAAATGCAGACAAAATCTTTTTTTTTTAACAGGAAGAAAAGGAGAAAAATGGAACCCCTTACAAGTCTGAAACCGAATATAGTTCAGTGGTAACGCCTCTGACGGCTCGAATCTCAAATGGGACGTGAGTTCCTTCGAAATGCCAAACACGCCACGCTGACTAGTGTCGATAGGCACGAAAACTAGATCCAAGACTTCATGAAGATCTTCTTTCTTTCTTTACTTCGGCTATCTCCTACGGGAGGATGAGCCGGCTTCATGAACATCTCGAATCATCGCTGCCCAGGCGCGGCGATCTGATGAAGAGAGTTCATGAAGTTTCATGGGAATTCGGCACGAGTAATGTCCCCAGAATCGCTCGACCTTTTGTTTGAGAGTGAAGCTCTAGCCTTTACACAACCAAGTGTGACCTACAAGGCAGTACTAGTGGAGTAGGGAGTCCACTATCCATTGGAAGCCGGTGACCGGAGTTCGGTTCATACGCCTTTTTGAATGGGGCCAGACATCCAGAACATCCAACAAGCCCTTTGTCCATACGTCTCCCGGTGAGCTCCAGTGAGCTTCATACGCCAGTCGTTGGAGGTTTGGAATCAGGGTTTAGCCATCTCCCCTAGACTGTCATCCAATGGACAGTCAACCCGGTGAAGAGGGCCGGTCATCCGCTTTCGCCCTCTCACTTTGGTGAAAAACACCTCCGCCACGTGAAGGCAGTGAGTAGGACTTCTTCAGCAGAGGCTATGTAAGACGCCCGGTCATATGGGAGCATTTCAAGAGGTGTGAGGAGGGGTGGCCAACCCGCAGCGCAAGGCACCCACCCCCGACCATCCTAAGGCTTTGGAGATGGCCTCCAACCAACTAATAATGATACTGGTAATCGTAACAATAATGTGTGCATCGATGGTTCAGCGGTAGGACGCTCGTCAACCACGCTACACGGTCTGGGTTTCGATCCCCGGACGACACACTATTAAAATCTCTCTAATTCAGTGATAATAAGGCCGGGTAAAGAGGGAAGATTGGGCAGGAGACTAACCAACTCTACTATCCCATAAAAATTAAAAAACAACACTGCTACCGAAAATTCCCAAGCTCCTGCTTGAAGCCCTATTTCCCATTCGGAAAGTAAACGAATAAAATAAATAAATAAATAATAATAATAACATAAATAATACTTACATGTTAGTTGTTAAGTGTAACAGTGAATTCAATTCATGTCTCATTAATTGGTTTTGACAAAATCCACTATTGAATTTGGAATCCTCATGGCTGTTGATATGATGACTAGCGTTAGTGTTGTTACCGTTGTCCTCTTCTTCAGTTATTATTGTTACAGTAGATTTTGTTAAATAGTTATTACCTTTCAATCCCTCCATAACACATTCATCATTATTGTTTTCATGCCCAGTAACCACCACCAATGGTGAAGATGTTAACGATGACGGTAGCGTTAAAGTATCGGGATGTTTCGTCTTCATATTATTATTATTATTATCATCATTATAATTACTATTCCTACCATTAATAATGGTACACTGATCCAAAATGTGTAATGCTGGCATGGAATCTGATGATTCCGAGGGTGAATTACGTAGACTCGCAGCTACACGTGTCAAAACTGGTTCACGGTAGACAGCAGGGGAAGGAGACATACAAGTTAATTTGTCTACACTGGAGGAGACATTACATGCAGCATTAACCGGATTTGATTCTTCTTCTGGGGCAATTTTGTTTAATAATGGCCTAAAAAACAATGGAAACCAAACATTAAGGCATTAAACTCTATGCATGAAAGTTTGAAGCGGTGGCACATCATCATGAGGATTATCACTGCCACAATATAAATGAGCATTGAGTGGTGATGGGATAGAAACATGGCCAATACGAGTTGAAGACATCAAAAGTTTGACTGTTTTTGATCATAGATGTTTACGATCGCTTTCTCGCGTTAGGTGGCATAATAAGGTAAGTAATGTTGACGTTAGGCGTAGAGTGTTGGGCAAAGAGGGGAAATCAATCGAAGAGGCTATAAAGTTACATAGATTGAGATGGCTAGGTCGCGTGCTGTGCATGCCTAACCATCGCCTCCCCCGACGGACGGGCATTACTAGCTGATATAGGTGCAGGTTGGAAAAGAGTAAGTGGTGGCCAAACAAAAACATGGCCTCATCAATCCATGAAATCCTTGACAGTTAAACTGAGTCAGGTAGGGAGATGCAGACTTCCAGGTTGGGGCCCTCGGGACTGTAAGAATCAATGGCTGGAGACACTAGGTGACATGGCTGAAAATCGTTGTCAATGGCTAGCGCAGATGTATTCAGTCTCTTGGGTAATCTTTCATATTCCTTTCTACCATTACTCATTCTGTTTCACTCTTATACTTGTCAAAACTCTATTGATTCTCTTCACTCATTTTCTTGTCTACCTTTGTGTGCTATTTGGAACGTGGCAACTCGAACTGCTGTCTCCAAAGCCTCAGGATGGTCGGGGGTGGGTGCCTTGCGCTGCGGGTTGGCCACCCCTCCTCACACCTCTTGAAATGCTCCCATATGACCGGGCGTCTTACATAGCCTCTCCTGAAGAAGTCCTACTCACTGCCTTCACGTGGCGGAGGTGTTTTTTTCACCAAAGTGAGAGGGCTAAAGCGGATGCCCGGCCCTCTTCACCGGGTTGACTGTCCATTGGATGACAGTCTAGGGGAGATGGCTAAACCCTGATTCCAAACCTCCGACGACTGGCGTATGAAGCTCACTGGAGCTCACCGGGAGACGTATGGACAAAGGGCTTGTTGGATGTCCTGGATGTGTGGCCCCATTCAAAAAGGTGTATGAACCGAACTCCGGTCACCGGCTTCCAATGGATAGTGGACTCCCTACTCCACTCCTACTGCCTTGTAGGTCACACTTGGTTCTGGGGACATCACTCGTACCGAATTTCCATGAAACTTCATGAACTCTCTTACAAACGATTCGAGATGTTCATGAAGCCGGCTCATCCTCCCGTAGGAGATAGCCGAAGTAAAGAAGTTTAAAGAAAGAAGAACTCGAACTGCTGTACTTCGGTGCCAAGTTCTATGTTGAATCCAGAGAGAGAGAGAGATGGGATAGAGTGAGATGAGGTTGGGCGAGGGGTTAAATTACATTCCTTCTCCGATTTTAACAGCCAGTTGAGGCGGGTCACACACACTTACTTTACTTTACTTCGGCTATCTCCTACGGGAGGATGAGCCGGCTTCATGAAGAGTTCATGAAGTTTCATGGGAATTTGGTACGAGTGATGTCCCCAGAATCGCTCGGCCTTTTGTTTGAGAGTGCAGCTCTAGCCTTTACACAACCAAGTGTGACCTACAAGGTAGTAGGAGTGGAGTAGGGAGTCCATTATCCATTGGCAGCCGGTGACCGGAGTTCCGTTCATACGCCTTTTTGAATGGGGCCAGACATCCAGGACATCCAACAAGCCCTTTGTCCATACGTCTTCCGGTGAGCTCCAGTGAGCTTCATACGCCAGTCGTCGGAGGTTTGGAATCAGGGTGTGGCCATCTCCCCTAGACTGTCATCCAATGGACAGTCAACCCGGTGAAGAGCGCCGGGCATCCGCTTTAGCCCTCTCACTTTGGTGAAAAAAACACCTCCGCCACGTGAAGGCAGTGAGTAGGACTTCTTCAGGAGAGGCTATGTAAGACGCCCGGTCATATGGGAGCATTTCAAGAGGTGTGAGGAGGGGTGGCCAACCCGCAGCGCAAGGCACCTACCCCCGACCATCCTGAGGCTTTGGAGGCCACACACGGCCTGCATGAACTGATTTCTGGGATTGTTTCCGTATTAATAAAATTACCGCCGGTTATGGACCACTGTAGGTGGGGTAAGTCGGGATGTACAATTGTTGGGGTCGACCTGTCCTAACCCCCTCTCTTTCTCCAGAGTGGAGAGACAGCATAGCTGGCTGGCATTCCGGTCATCTGAGGGAAACACCTCACTGCTGTTACATCCCTGTTCCCCAGCAGTACGATTTCGCCCACAGACCACCAAGCATTGTGTAAAAACAATTCCTACACAATGCCGGTAACCGCTTTTAGTATAATTCCATATTAGTTTGTTTATCAGGTGCATCACATCATCAGTGAAGCAGTATTATTTACTGGATGACGCAGTTTCGAACAAAATGTATTCATTGTTCATAATCATTTCATCAATAGTAATCACACGACTTCGAAACTTGAGTTTTATAGATTTCTTTGTTCTCTCCTATTTGTCGTGGTTGGGGTAGTAGAATTTTCCAGATATCTGCGTGGACAGGTGTTTGCAGTTGATTCGATAAACAAAGCTTCTGTTATCAATCTCTCCCTCCACCCTGTTACATTAGATTTTAAAACTGCCATCTTATCCAAGCATATGCTGTATGGTTGTGTATAATTGTACGTAGTGCTATAGCTGAACTATTGTCTGGGTAAATACACACACACACACAAAATAATTATAAATAAATGCGATTGTACAGCTATGTGAATGAATTCACCGTCGAAAAGAGTCTCTTAGCTGAACGTCTTCTCTTTTTCATATGACTCAATGAAGATTTTTAAGCTATATAAGCTATATATCAGCCAACAATGGTCCTAATGTAATTCCCACAACAGTGTCTTCCATATATTGAAAGTGGTCACCTTCAAAAGTGAAATGAACACTATTTGCACACAATGATAATAATCTTTCAAATATATCAGAAGAATAGGGAATGAAAGGCACCTAGAAGGTATGTTATCACACGGAATGTCGATATCGGCGATTGGTAACACCAGACAACTATTTAGGCTGATCAGGGAAGCAGGTGGTAAAAGGTAAATGATAAGTCAAACAATCTCCGAGAAAAATGGCACTATAATTAGCTCCCAGGATAGACGACTGGAACGTCGGAAAGAACACTTTGTGGAGCAGTTTAACTGGCCTACAGCTACGCTCAACTTACCCACCATCCAATACCTCCCTGAATGGGATATAAACACGGATCTTCCATTCCTAATTGAGGTTACTGAGGCTGTCACTAGTAGGGAACGAGGCAAAGCTGCAAGACATGATGGAATGACTCCAGACTGTACTTCAGGACGGTGGAGACAGTTTAATGTCTGCGTTAATTAAGGTACTAGGCAGCGACTGGGAATCAGAGGACGGCCCATCAGGTCGGTCGGTCGGTCGGTCGGTTTTCGACATAGAACTTTGCACTGATGTGCGGCAGTTCAAGTCGCCACAATCTATGTAGCACGCAAAGCAAGAGAAGAAAGTAGAAGAAATGCATAATATAGACAGTAAACAAAGGTGTGAGACAAAGGAATAGTAGTAACGGAGAACAAAACAGTTTCATTGGAAATCATAAGTCACAAGGAGTGGATGCATCTGCCCCAGTCATTGAGAACGATTTCGAGCCATGTCACCAATTGTTTCCAACCATTGGTTTCTATCGTCCCGAGAACGCCAACCAGGAAGTCTACACCTTCCTACGTGGCTTAGACTAACTGTTGTGGATTTCATTGACTGGTGAAGCCACGTTTTGGTTTGACCGCCGTTAGCTCTTTTCCAGCCTGACCCTATGTCAGCTAACATTGCCCGTCAGCCGAGGAAGGTGATGACTAGGCATACGTAACACATGCCCTAACCATCACAGTAGATGTAATTTCACAGTCTCGTCAACTGATTTCCCCTCCTTACCTAGTACTCGACCGGTGCCTCACCTCAATATTGCTCACCTTATTATACCACTTCACGCGGGAGATAGAACGCAGACACCTATGATCGAAGACAGCTAATCTTTTCATGTCTTCTGCTCTCAATGGCCAGGTCTCACAGCCATAAAGGAGGACGGAGCGGACTGTTGAGCAGTACACACGCCCTTTGGTCGATAGTCGGATATCGCGTCTACGCCAGAGACGGCGAAAACTGGCGAATGCGAACCTAGCCCTCTGTATTCGTGCTGAAATTTCGTCGGAGATCAACCCGTTGGGGCTGATGGTACTTCCCAAGTAAGTGAAGCGGTCAACGTGCTCTACCACTTCACTTCCTATTTCTAATCTAGGGCTCGGTGAAGTCCAATCCTGCAACATCATCTTACATTTTACAGGGGCGAATCGCATGCCAAACATACAGAGATTGCAGCCCAAGGTGTTCAGAAGACTCTGCTAGATTTTGTCAGTGTCTTCACCTAGAAGGACTATATCATTCACATATTCTAAGTCAACGAGATTATTCCCTGGTAGCAAGTCAATCCCTGAGTCGCTGAAGTGAGTTAGGGTTAAGTCCATTAGTACATCTATGATGAAATTGAATAGGAATGGGGATAATGGGCATCCTTGACGGACGCCACTAGTCGTCACCACTTCAGATGACAACTCGCCATAAGCCCTCACCTGGCTGCATGAGTACGAGTAGAGTGCCTTAATCAGTGCAATGTATTTTCTTGGCATTCCCTTTACAGCCAAGCATCGCCAGAGAACCTCCCGGTCGACAGAATCGAATGCCGCCTTTAGGTCAAGAAATATAATGATTGTCGGACGCCGGTAGGAATGCCTATGTTCTAGAATCTGTCGAAGGGTGAAGATGTGATCAATACACCCTCTACCTGGCCTAAAACCTGCCTGGTTTTCTCGTGTTTGTGTCTCCCGAGCACCACTTAATCTACGCAGTATTATTGAGCCTAGGATTTTAGATACTATATTAGTCAAGCTAATCCCTCTGTGATTATCACAAGACGACTTGTCCCCCTTCTTGTATATCGGGATGATCAGTGACTTACACCAACCCGATGGGACTTCCTCTGATTCCCAGACGCTGCCTAGAACCTCCGTTAACGCAGACAGTAAACTGTCGCCTCCGTACTTAAATACCTCTGGAGTCAATAAATCAGGTCCCGCTGCTTTGCCTAGCTTCAGATTGGTGACAGCTTTAGTAACCTCGGTTAAGGACGGAGGACCTGTGTCTATCTCCCATTCAGGGAGGTGTTGGATGTCCGGTAGGTTAAGTGTGGCTGTGGGCCAATTAAACTGCTCCTCATAGTGTTCTTTCCAGCGCTCCCATCAGGTTGGTGTAAGTCACTGATTATCCCGATATACAAGAAGGGAGACAAGTCTTCCTATGATAATCACAGGGGGATTAGCTTGACCAATATGGTATCTCAAGTTCGAGGCTCAATAATCATACGTACTCGGGAGGAACAGACACGAGAGAACCAGGCAGGCTTTATACTAGGAAGAGGGTGTATTGATCATATCTTCACTCTTCGACAGATTCTAGAACATAGGCATTCTTACCGGCGTCCAACAATCATTATGTTTCTTGACCTAAACGCGGAATTCGATTCTGTCGACCGAGAGGTACTACAGTGACGTTTGGCTGTAAAAGGAATGCCGAGCAAATACACTGCACTAATCAAGGCACTCACTCCACTTGAACTCATGCAGCCAACCATGTGAGAGCTTACTGAGAGTTGTCATCTGAAGTGTTGATAACTAGTGGTGTCCATCAGAGATGCTCATTGTCCCCATTTCTATTCAGTTTCATTATAGATGTACTAATGAACTTAACCCTAACTTCTGACTTCAGAGACTCAGGTATTGACATGCTGCCACCAGGGAATAAACTCGTTGACTGAATATGAAGATGATATAGTCCTGCTCCAAGGTGAAGACGCTGACGAAATGCAGAAACTTCTAAACACCTTGGGCTGCAATCTGTGGTTGCTCAGCATGTGATTCGCTCGCGCCAGATGTAAGATGATGCTACAGGACTGGACTATATTGACACCTAGCTTAGAAATAGAGAGTGACCACTTCACTTATTTGGGAAGCTGGATCAGCCCCAATGGTTTGTTCGCCGATGAAATCTCAGAACGGACACAGAAGACTAGTTCTGTATATGCCAGTTTACGCCGGCTTAGTACACCTGATATCCGGCTGTCGACCAAAGGACATGAGTACCGCTCAGCAGTCCACTCAGCCCTTCTTTATGCCTGTGAGCGAGTCACGGCCACTGAAAGTAGGGGACATGAAAATGCCAGCTAGGTGTCTTTTATCATAGGTGTCTGAGTTCTATCTCCCGCGTGAAATGGTATAACAGGGTGAGCAATATTCAGGTGAGGCACCGGTCGAGTGCTAGATAACGAGGGGAAATCAATCGACGAGGCTGTGAAGTTACATCGATTGAAATGATTAGGACATGAGTTACGCATGCCTAGCCATCGGTCGCCTTCCTCGATTGACGGGCAATGTTAGCTGAGAGAGTTGACCAGCTTGGGAAAGAACCAGTGGCAGTCAATTGGAAACATGACTTCATCGGACAATGAAATCCAAAACAGTTAGTTTAAGCCACGTAGGAAGGTGTAGACTTCCTGGTTGCAGTCCTCGGGACGGTAAAAACGAATAGATGCTAGAAACAATTGGTGATATGGCTCAAAGTGATCGTTCTCAATGGCTAGGGCAAATGCATCCACTCATTGTGACTTGTAATTTCCAACAAAACTATATTGTTCTTCGTTATTACTATTCTTTTTGCCTCATATCTCTGTTTACTGACTCTATTTTGCATTTTCTTTTACTTTCTTCTCTTGCTTTGTGTGGTACAAGGAAGGAATGTGGAGACTTGGACTGCTGCACGTCGGTGCAAAGTTCAATGTCAGTCAGTCATTAGGCTTACTAGGGAAACAGGTTGCAAGCGGCGAAGATGCATTCACTTTGTGTATTCTCGTGTTTCCACTATAGACCGTCATGTTTTTCCCCGTTACTATCTCTTGCACTCCTGTTTATCATAGTTCTTTTAAATCTCTCTTTCTCTCTCTCTCACTCTCCTTGTTGTCTGCCTGTATGCGCCACATGGAGTGTGGCAACTTGAGGTGTTGTGTGTCTGTGTCAATCATCAGTCAGGCGTGAAACTTTAGGACACCATTAAAACAACACAACCTGCTCTTAACTCCATGATGACCATCGGTAGTAATTCATCATTTTATGTAATTGATAATACAACAAACATATGTAAGCATTTCCTGACTGCGAACTTAAAAGTGTGACAAAAAATATTTAATAAATTGCATTCCTCTGAATAGGATCTAGTGATAGATAAATAGTAGTGAAAAGAAAACATTTAATGAGCTCAGATAGATGTTCACTAAAACATTTATGTGGTGAGATAAGAGAAATTAGATGAATATTGTCTGTCTGTCTGTCTGTTTTCGACATAGAACTTTGCACATATGTGCGGCAGTTCAAGTCACCACACTCCCTCCATGTAGCACACAAAGGAAGAGAAGAAAGTAGGAGAAATGCATAATAGAGAGACAGTAAACAGAGGTGTGAGACAAAGGAATAGTAATAACGAAGAACAAAACAGTTTCATCGGAAATCATAAGTCACAAGGAGTGGATGCATCTGCGCTAGTCATTGAGAACGATTTTGAGCCATGTCACCAATTGCTTCCAACCATTGGTTTTTACCGTCACGAGGACCCCAACCAGGAAGTCTACATCTCCCTACGTGACTTAGACTAACTGTTGTAGATTTCATTGACTGGTGCCATGTTTTCGTTTGACCGCCGCTAGCTCTTTTCCAGCCTGGCCCTATATCAGCTAACATTGCCCGTCAGTCGAGGAAGGCGATGACTAGGCATACGTAACACATGTCCTAACCATCTCAGTCGATGTAATTTCACAGTCTCATCGATTGATTTCCCCGCCTTACCTAGCACTCGACGCCTAACCTCAATATTGCTCACCTTATTATATCACTTGACACGGGAGATACAACGCAGACACCTATGATCGAAGACAGCTAATCTTTTCATGTCTTCTGCTCTCAATGGCCAGGTCTCACAGCCATAAAGGAGGACGGAGCGGACTGTTGAGCAGTACACACGCCCTTTGGTCGATAGTCAGATATCGCGTCTACGCCAGAGACGGCGTAAACTGGCGTATGCGAACCTAGCCCTCTGTATTCGTGCTGAGATTTCGTCGGCGATCAACTCGTTGGGGCTGATGGTACTTCCCAAGTAATTGAAGCGGTCAACGTGCTCTACCACTTCACTTCCTATTTCTAATCTAGGGGTCGGTGAAGTCCAATCCTGCAGCATCATCTTACATTTTACAGGGGCGAATCGCATGCCAAACATTCTTAGATTGCAGCTAAGAATGTTTGGCATGAATGTTAATCAAAATGAGGGGAAAAAAAGTAGTGGATTTGAAATGCAGGCAACTTCTTTACCTCGCAAATATTTAATTTAAAAATGAGGCTGAATACTGTTCAGAAAAATTTATACTGAACTACTTCACACAAAGGAAAAATATAACAAAAAGGGATATTAAAAGATACTATTTATCTGAAAATACAGCAGAGAATAACAGCTGTTCTGAATACACGTAAGGAATTGTAACTAGCAGTTAGACTAGATGGGCTCTTAACGAACCACTGTGATTCAAACCAAGTGAAGCAATCTCCTACTAACTCTCACACTCTTTCGTTCCTTTGTGCTACACGAATGGAGCATTGGGATAAAAGCTTGAGCTATGAAGTTTTGGTGGCGGTGGTGCTATTTTATTTTACGAGGTGTGTGGGGGGGGGGGTCGTTGACGTCACCACCAACCATCCTTCTCTAATGAGTTTCAATAACGGTTAAGAGGAGTTTAGCAATGCGTCGATTGAGAGTCGAAACTGGACCAAGCATGACTACCACTGAACCACCGACGCAAGTAAGGCAATATAATATTAACAATTTACACATTTGCATCCATTTACATCATTAGGAGAAAAATTCATTTATAAGAGGAGTGCAGTTAGTCAGTTAACAGCAGTCACATAGATCTCAGTGAACAAACCAAATTGTGACCATAAATTTTTACCACATCGAATCGAATACAACTTCCAGTGGCATATATATATATAATATTATATATATATATATATATATATATATATAATTTTATAGGTTCTAGTCGTGGACGACTTAACAGTACCCATGTTTAGCTTATTCTGTATAGAACAGATAACATGATCAGATTAAGTATTGACAGTTCATTGCACACTTTATGTAAGTGTCTTCGGACATATTTTGGATATGCATCGCAACTTCACGATTTAAAGCATTTTAGATTTCATGTGTGTCGAAAGCCACCACCAGCTAATAATGCGTCAAGAGGTTAGGCGTATTTCACTTCGTTGCATTCACCTGAATATTCATGTCAACGTCTAAACGATAATCACCCTGTAACACCTATTAAGTTGCTTGAGTGTACAGTACAACCCTGTTTCAATAGATACCGCCTTTAGTGTGAGATAATACGATGTCTATTTAGAATGCAAAACTTTGTACGGAAAGGCAGGAGTCTGTACTGTGTATCTTAAATTCAATTGAACGTAGCCAAAAATCAACGAAGCATTTGAATAACTATTCTCTTCTGATTCTATCATTCTTTTTTGTAACTCTTTTTATTTCCTTCGTTTCATTCCATTGCACTTTTGATAGGTCACATCATACCAACTGGTAGAAAACATTTTTTTTTTCAAAATTTAAAGACGTATCATTTGAAGACAATAAAGCTTTATTATATGCTGACTAACCTGACTAAATTTTCTTCTGCGACAACGACGACATCATCCCTTGTAGGCGTATCGATCGGTGCTTCATTGGCTTCAGTGAGTTTTCGCTACCAACCAGAAAAACACAATATGTAGGGAGAGCAGGTTAAGTGAATATCTATGCGTATTGATTGTTGATTCAGATGATGCAGCTCTGATAACTCTATTTATTAATAGAAGTAATCATAAAATAACCCAGAACATGTGAAAAAAAAACACGGAATAGCACCATAAAACTTCCTGTCAGTAGTAACAGAAATTTACCAGGTAACGATAACATGTGCTAAAAATAACAATCACGTAATGATATTACTACTACTACTGATAATAATAATAATATAAAGTGGGCTCACATATAATACAAGAAGGGATGTGAAACTACTACACAAATAACGTCAGAACTATTACTTTATTAAGATAAGCCGACAAAGTGGAATGGCGAATCACGTTTAAGTTATTTAAGGTCAGAGTTTACCACAACTTTTCACTCTAGTGAAAACTTCGATAGTAATGAGCATTTCCTAACAACAATCAACCTATTGTTAGGTGGTATCACCACGCATACTGACTACATTAAGAATTAAACCGACAGTTCTTATTGACCAATCCAGATTCAATGGCTACATCTATCACGACAAAGGTTACACACCTTATTACGTCAAAACGAGTTAACGTCAGCTAGCAAAGAAAAATATTCTTTCACTTCATCTCTATGCAAATCCTCCATACCATCTGATAAAGCTTTCCATGCCACGTAGGAACATGGAATAAAGAAGAGTAAGGAAACTTCTGTGAATCACATGATAAAATCAAGATCATGGTGATGAAAGAGGTCGTACGCGTTGTTTTTGTACACAAAGTTCTAGCTCTACGTTATATACTACCAAAGCTTCCACCTTACAAAGTGGATGCACTTGTATCCCTTTCGGCAAACTTTGTACACTATATTAAAGGATACATCACATGTTTCGTGGTCATTATCTAAGATATGTTTCAGTATAAGTGAGTTAATACGCTAAGGCTTTCCTTCGCTCAGCTTAGTCAAACTGGGAAGTACTCTCTAACGTGGCGAGATATGTTTCTCGCGAACGTCCTGTGTACCTAGCTCCACAAGAGCAGATGAACATATAAATACATATGGTATTGGACAATCCAGGTAACATTTCCTCAAGATTAGAGCGAACCAATGGACCAATTTACAGAAAACCGACTTGGACGAATTTCTAGTTTTCCCAGAATTTAATCTGTTCTCTAACAATATGGGTCCGGAGAATTTGCAGTAAAGATTGTGTTGATGATGAACTTAAACAATTGAAATAAACTTTCACAGAGAGGGGATATTCAGCCCGCTTTCTCGATGCCATAGAGGGACAAGTTAGCTATAAAAGTGTTGAATCTGGACTCAGAATTTGGAGGTGACACCACGAGTGAAGCCCTTAAAAATTGGCTAACAGAATCATTAAGGAAAACGTTCTACGAATAACCTACTCTAACTGTCCATTGGCGCACACTAATGTTAAGGAAATGTTACCTAGATTGTCCAATACCATATGTATTTATATGTTCATCTGCTCTTGTGGAGCTAGGTACACAGAACGTTCGCGAGAAACATATCTCGCCACGTTAGAGAGTACTTCCCAGTTTGACTAAGCTGAGAGAAGGAAAGCCTTAGCGTATTAACTCACTTAACGTTATCACATTCTAACATCTTACTTATTTTATTTAGTGACAACACTTCACTCATCTTATTTCTCTACCTTACTGCATTTACATGTATTGACATTTCTGAAGAATTTACACATTAACTTATGCTGACATATCTTGGATTTTTTTGTAGTGACCTGGAAGTGTGAAAATACACTGTCAATATAATTTAGGAATGTAAGACATGAGAATAATACGATCATGAAATATGAATTGCTTACCATCTTTGAGCGCTTCAGTTTAGCAGATGAATTTGAACGACGTTTTTTAGTGAAAAATGACATTTCAGCCGACTGGTATAATTTAACAGTTGATGATTTTCAGGCTATTTACCATAGAATACCACTAGAAACTAAGATACAGAAAACGAATTACTGGGTGCGGAAATTTAAGTGGGAATAAAGAATCAACAGACATTCCGTTTACATGCAAATTACATCGGTCTTAAACTCCCCAGTAGTGAGAACCAGTGGTTGAAGAGACAGTGAAATACCTCCAGAATGGTTGTGCGTCCACTTTTAGAAGCTGAAAACTTAGATGCCTACGATGTGCTTTTTACGAAATATGGATGCCGAAACCCTTTGTGAATATGCAATGTCCTATTTCAAATTCTCCAGACTTATCGCAAACACAAATGTTTGTACTTAATAAGGAGCAAAGCTGCACTACAGATACTAAAAGAAACCAAACTTAAATAGGAATATCATGTACCATACGTGTAAATTGAGAATACCCAGTTGCCTAGGTTAGAAAAAAATGAATACACTTTAAACATTGATTACATCAATACTTCATATATACATATACATTTATCACATTTTGTAATTGATATCTGCGGAACAGCTACCACAATGAAGGTCTATAACCAAAAACGTTTGATTTGGGGCTACGTATCGTATCACACTTCATAAGAAACTGAGTGGAATTTTTAGCCAGTGTTCAGCGTGATTCCTAAGATGTGCCGTAATAAGGTTGCATAATATCCTAGCTCTTGTCCCTGTTAAGTGAATTATGATGATTCGCTAATGATTTTCATAACTGATTTGACAGGCTAGCCTACTTACAAGTTTTTGCCAATCTGAGAAACACGCATTATGGCGAATAACAGAATAGGGTTACTTCTGGATATCAGTTTGAGATAATATTGGAATCCAAGATCATTCGGGAATGCACACATTGTCTGGCAATAAAGAAATGGACTTCTTGAGAAAGTAACCTACAAGATCTATAATTATGGTCTAAAATTCCAGAAAGAGGAAACAAACCGCTTGACAAATCGTATCAGGTGACGTTAACACTCCGAAGCGCATTTCTTTGGGTGCCTGTAGAATATGGAAATAAGTTGTCTTAGATAGAATTCAACTCTCGATGCATCATAAAACTTAATAGTCGGGTGTACTCAACTGGTCTTGTTCTTTTGTATATTTTGTATACTTTAACGTCATTAACCAATGTATATCGGCTGAGGGCTATGTGATATTTGTGTATTAATTTATATGTAAAACTTGAAAATCGCGGTAGTAAGTAATTCCATATTAATTTGTTTATTAGATGTATCATACGGTGAAACAGTATTATTTACTGATATTTGCTACTGATTCCTGAAGGGAGACAACCGCGTGGGAATATATGTCAACTTTAACTGAATACATAGGCATGAAAATGCACATCCTAACTCCTCTTAAGTCATAAGTAAACATAAATTGCAATAGTAAACAATGTAGAAACGTGAAAAACCATACATGCATGCAATCAAAGTACACACCCACCAGCTGTAAAACAGAAAGCGTGAATCCAGACGAGTGGTTCTAGAAAAACAATTCTGATGCATTAAAAGAATTCTCTGTGCAAATTGTGAAATAAAATGGAAAGTACAAATTTAATTTTAATTATTTATTGTCGCATATTGGTTCATTTATCATTTAACTGATAAGTACACATGTAACGCAAACACACAACGTTGTCAACTGCTATTGGTTGAGCAGCTAGCCAACGAAACGTACTTCCTAGCACCCTAATTTATCTGCAGTTTTCCATAATTGAAAAGTCAGACATGTAGTCTAAGTTTTTAACAGGAAAACGCTGATCATATCCTATCACAATACTCAGTGACGTTTTAATACTAAAGTGAGTCAGAAAATTTTCACATCATGAATCTATTTCTGAGCAACAAGACATTCCCAAAAGTGTTTACAGTGCTCTGAAAGTCCCCTCCTCTGCAGTTCGCCTGAAGTGTGCTTCTAACTTTCCGCAGTGTATCGAAAGTCAGTGAAAGGAAGGAGTTTTGTCTAGTATATCTGCTTTCTTATAGCAACTGTACATGACCACTTTACCAAGTTGTGATATAAGAATCCACTGATGTGACACTGTATTTTGGGTCAAACGACGTTCACATCTTACGTTCCAAGGGCAAACACGATCCCAGAGAGTCCAAGCGACACCGAATTTCACTGAACTCCCCAAAGTTACACCTGATACTAATACTTTTCAGTGTTATATAACGGTTCTTTCTCTTAGATGGCTTGCAGTCCGGCAGATCTTTCTCTAATCTGCTGTTACTTAGTGGGATACGATGAACGAGACTGAAATCCCATTTTCTCATAGATTTTCTTATTCCTTCCACTCCCATGGCATTGTCAAGACATAGCTGTTGGTAATTCCCCAGAATAATTAGCCACAGCAATAGCCACTGAACATTGGATGCTGACCTTCACTGTTTGAGTCGCTTTGTTTGGCTGAAGGATTACGGTCAAGCATCCATGCCATTTGGCACGTCGTCGTGTTACGTTCGTTCACGATCCCTAGCTAGTTAAGCAATCATCCAAGCAGTTCGATTTTGTCCTGAGATATACTTTGTAATTTGGGAGATCAGTTTTGGTGCTTTAATTTGCCTTTGGTCGACGCGGAAGTAATACTGTAGAAGTTATGGGTATTCAACTGCTCTAGAAAACTTCGCACCATCCGTTGGCGCCAACGCCCTCAGCATATAAAGAGGTTTTCAATGATGTTTTTACTGAACAATGCTTTAAACTATTCAAAAAGTTGGAGAATAGAACGGATATATGTCAGAAAAATACAAGCTAGATAGAAGCAATGAGAAGACATAACAAGTTTATGACGGGAAAATAGAAGTGATTCCGGAGAAGTAATATTCATGGAAATAACTAAATAACAAGAAATTAAAGAATGTGGGAACTGTAAAATGTTGAGAACCAGGGAAGCAATCGTGCAGCTTATATAATCTAATGGAGCCAGAATTATTCCTGCGCAGATTTTTCCAGAAAAATTCATATTTCGTTGGGAGTGGCGCGCTGTCAATGATGGGTGTTCGAACAAGTCTGATACACATAGAGATAAGTACCTGGATGCGAAGTACAGAGCTCTTACAGTCGGCACCCGTGTCCGGTTTCTTCGTCAGCACTGGGCTCAAGTCATGATACGTCGTAATTTTCTTTAACCTTCGGAACACTGATAGTGGCCCGTAGCACTTCGAATTTTAATGAATTCACCCTTGTTGATGCGTAAAGAAGTTTCGTGGATTCCCCCGGAATCACGTGTCGGTTATCTTGTAGGGGAACATTCTCCAGGGTGACCGAATGCACAGTGATGTGTCTTTTGCTTTCCGACCTGTTTACTCAGTGAGTCGATAAAATCTTCAGCTACTAATCCTTGACTAGCACATTTTCTTTCATCTATGGAATGCTGCGTATTCTTTAGTTAACCCTGTGAATTACTTGCAGGGTTTTCTTGAAACTAACTCTTGCTCCTCTGAAACTCCACACCACCCCAATTACTCAGAGCCAAGTGTATATTATAGTACAAATCCTTTCTTGAAAGCTTCCATTTATTTCAAGTATGCGTTTCTCATTCGTGGATGTTAAGAGTACGTGAGATGATCTAATCCTGGTTAGGTCTTCCCCAGTGACAGTCAGACACGAACACCATATGACTATTGCTACCGTTTGACAACATTAACGAATGGTCGTTCGTCAGCAACTCACCTGCCACGAATAGTTTAATGCCTGACCATTCGGCTTCGTCGTCCTCAAAGTTCTAGTAAAAATGGAGGTATTGACCAATCCTCAAAAAAATTCAGTGTATGAGCCATTTTCTCAAGATTCAATTGTGGAAAGTTGAAGCCACCAGAAATAAGGATATGAAAGAGTTCGAACAAATCGAACAGTCAACCATCATTTTCTGTATCAATGAGGATTGGAACACGGTAGATTATTGGATTTTCAAGGGACATGAGCTAAGTAGCCTCGTCCTGGTGGGATTGCGTATGTCTATTCTCCTTTCAAACCATCGTCAATAGATGCAACTCTCATCAGAAGCGTTATATTCTCCTAGTTGGGGGAGGATATCGAGAACAGGCTGGCCACCAGTTTATGTAGGCCAGGTTAAAGTGTCCGTTTGTAGTACGGGCAGAGCCCAGACTTAGCAGGACGGATGGCCACACATCAGTCGCCAGCGTTATTTTTTAGCTGAAACCAACTGAAAGCGTACTCGAAATATTTATCTAGCTACTTGGTATCGTAGAAACCCATCTGAAGGCAGAAGTAAATTAAATCACTCAAGAGGTTGTTGCTTTAATTTTTCCCGAAGATCGATTAGTCCTAACAAACTAGGGCCTAGTGTAATTTTACAATCACGAAATACTAAACTGACTGTGGGAGTATATTTGTTCGAATTTAGTTACTAGAACTACGCGAAGCTAGCTTGTGACGAACGGAGCAACTCTTAATTCACAATTTCATTCCCCGTCCCTTTTGTACATTGTCATCCCTTTTATGTCCAACTGTTAATCTAAATTTCTATAACGCGAAGCTTACTCGGTATGCCAAATAATCGTTGCATGAACCATATATTTAAGCGTCCTGCCACACAAGCAATCAGTAAATGCTCAAGAAGAATATCGAAAAGCAATTTTCATGTAAATTCATCCAACAAGAGCAAAATAAGCACCAAAATCACGTCAATTGCGCCTGCCTGGACGACTAGCTCCAACTCGAATCAACTAAGCCGCGCAAATGCCGTCAACGTAAAGCTGGAGGCGCCACTTCAAATAGGGGACATGCCATATAATCGCCCTCTATAACCTATTTTCATTCTCTTGCTCTAACCAGTCCCAATATAGTTTCTGGTCCGATTTTACATAAAATGTAAGGATAACTTCAAACACAGGAATACACTAGCATTTTTCAACTCGAATTCCAGAAAAAGCCTAATTCTTCCAAATTCATATTAAAACCAAAATAGTTGAACACAGTGCGGAATTTCTCGTGCTACCGAACAAAATACATCAGGTATCTACCGAACAGATCTTCAATTTTGAGGTTATCCTGCATCCAAATGTCATCCAAATGACCTCAGGTCAAAAACATCTGAATTCAGAAAAAATATACAGAGATCCTAGATCAGCTACAAATGGTTTAATTTATGCAAAAATATAAATCGGCATCAAAATGGTGACTTTAGAATTAGAGAGTACAAAATAAGATGTAACACTCCCCAACAAAATAACACTTTATTTTTTCAAATAGTCAATTAAAATGATAATTTGATCAGTTGTCAGAGTCACAACTACACATAGGAAGTATGTTACCGATAGCAAATTACATCATGTAAATTAGTTATGCTTACACAATCACGTGAATAGTTTCGTTAACTGCTGATATTTTTGACATCAAATCATACTGTGTGATTGAACCATCTGAAGAACCAAAACGTGACCTGTCCATAGAGAGTTGAAGTTCACGAGAAAATTTGATGCATTGAGTATATGTGCAGCAACAATTATTACATACTTCGCAAATGCTAATATTACACACACTGCTTGAAGGGTTACCTGTACTTACAGCTGTGCCCCTGGATACTCTCTCAATTACGGTTTACATCTGTTCATTAGGCAGTTCACCTATAACCCTGTGTACTGTACGAATCGTTAGTTCTCAGACATCACCCTAATGGCTTGTAGTCAGTGCACTGACAAGCCAGTCTATACCTCTACTCAGTAAGGTGTCACTTATTCCTTCTCGTTTCTGATTCATTAAGAACCTATCTAATTCTCCTTCCTCTGCCACCACAT